AAAAAAATTAAAAGTAAAAATAAAAAAATACATACAAAAGGGACAATACACAAACCGAACAACCAAAGCAGAAAAAAATGGACAAAATACCTTCACTAAACCCAGAAAAAACTAACAACACCACAGAATTTATAAAAACCAATTTTTTACCTTAACAAAAAAGTTTAAAAAAAATTAAATGTAAAAATCAAACAAAATACATAAAAAATGATAAACATAGCGAACAACCAATGCAGAAAAAATGGGCAAAATACCTTCAGTAAAAACAGAAAAAAAAAAACGGACAACACTACCCAAGTTCTAAAAACGAATTTTTACCCAACAAAAAGATTTTAAAAAATTTAATGTAAAAATCAAACAAAATACATTAAAAAAAGAGATGATAAACATAGCGAACAACCAAAACAGAAAAACTGAATAAAACACCTTCAGTAAACACACACAAAAAAAAGTCAACACTACAGAATTTCCCCCAACCCAACTTTAATTTAAAAAATGCAAAAATGAAAGAAAAAAATCAACATAATTTTTCTGCTTTGGTTATTCACTATGAAAGAAATTATCGGTTTTCACTATTAAAGAACCCAACTTTAACCTAATAAAAAAAGCTAATAAAAAAATTGGACAAAATACCTTCAGTAAACACAGACATAAACGAACAACACTACAGAAGTTATAAAAGCCATCTTTAACTTAATAAAAAAGTCCCAAAAAAAATTAAACTTGGAAATCAAACAAAATAGGAAATATAGCGAACAAGCGAAGCAGAAAAATTGGACAACACTACAGAAGTTATTTATACCTACTTTAATCTGTATCTGATGAGCCCATCAACTTGTGAAAAAAATGTGAGTGTTGGCATTTTTGTTTGTGTACATAAGCTGCAATTTTTTATTGATTTCTGATATTTATGATATCAGTGATTTTTTGTTTTCTTAGCTTAGTTATAATGAACGAAAAATCGGACTCCTATAAATTCAAATTAATTGGATTTTCCATTGAATTTTCATTCTTTCTCTGCAGAAGTTTCATTGTTCTGAAATGACTGAGTCGCTTTTTGTATTGATAAATGATACTGAAAGTCGAGTAATTTACAACAGGCGGATCTGAAATATTGAAATATCATTTAATACTTCTTTCTCTTTTCAAATTAACCTTTTCACGATTACCATGAGTGAAATCGGCTTGCGAATCGATTATTGCCTTAATTTGTCGCAGTCCTTTAACATGTCCAGTTAAAAAAAAAAAAAAAAAACTCCATTTATTTCGAGGTGGGATAAGTGAAGCAAGCACATTTTGATCAAATTTCTATATCCGGTCTTTTGTCTAAAGAATAAAATTTAATTTAAACTTCCATTACATTTAACCCGGTACTTGAATGAATTTATGCTGATTGTGTTCGAACTTTTGAAGGTACAGCCGTAAGACAACAGGGAGTGAAACTGGGCCAGAAAAAAATGGTGAAACAGTCGTATTAGGCTGACTACAAAGCCGCAAAATAAGAGAAAATAGGAACAGAAAAAAACACTGTTATTATAGAAAGACATGAGTATTTTTGATTGATATCACTTGTAATTTTCACTTTTAATATGAGCTTCCGCGAAATAAAGTGAAATGGTAAATTCCGAATAGGGACATCGTTACTTTAAATCTAATATTTGCAGGGCAAAATAAAATTTATTTCTCATTCACTTTTGCAGCTGAGAGTCTGTGAATGACTGAAAGTGTAAGCATGTTAATTTTTCAGTGAGAGGGAATCTGTTTAGACCAAATGAACGTGCGAATAAGTGTGTGTCTGTGGATGACTGAGAGTGTGGTGTGTTAATGCATGAATGAGTGTGAATGTGATAAGTCTAACAGAAGATGTGAATAAGTGTGTGTCGGAGAATGATGAAAGTGTGAGTGGGGTAATGCGTGAGTGAAAGTGAATGCGGGTAAGAGTAAGCGAATTTGTGAATAGGTTGTGTCTGTGAATGACTGAAAGTGTGAGTGTGTTAATGTATCGGTGAGATTGAATAGGACTATGAGCAAGTCAATTTGTGAAAAAGTGTTTGTCTGTAAATTTCTGAGAGTATGAGTGTGTTAATGTATCGGTGAGAGTGAATGGGACTATGAGCAAGACAATTTGTGAAAAAGTGTTTGTCTGTGAATGACTGAAAGTGTGAGTGTGTTAATGTATTGGTGAGAGTGAATGGGACTATGATCAAGTCAATTTGTGAAAAAGTGTTTGTCTGTAAATTTCTGAGAGTGTGAGTGTGTTAATGTGTAAGTGAGAGTAAGTCAATTTGCGGATAGGTTGGGTCTGTGAATGGCTGAGAGCGTGGTGTGTTAATGCATGAATGAGTGTGAATGCGAGTATGATATGTGAGTAGGTGTATGTTTGTGAATGACTGAAAGTATGAGTGTGTTAATGCGTGAGTGAGAGTGAATGCAAGTATGAGGAAGTCGATTTGTGAATAGGTGTATGTCTGTGAATGACTGAGAATGTGAGTGTGTTAAAGCGTGAGTTAGTGTAAGTATGAGTAAGTCAATTTGTGAATAAATGCGGGTTGTTAGACAACTAAGAGTGTGTGTTAATGCGTGAGTGAGAGTGAATGCAAGAGTAAAGCAATTTGTGAATATGTGTGTCTGAAAATTTCAGAGAGTGTGAATGCGTGCAAAAGTTGTTTGGAAACTTTGTTCCTTTTTAAATAGAAAATTCACTTTCTTTTTACAAAAGCCGGTTATCGCTGCGTTCAAATTGCTTAAACGCGTTGTAAAGGATAGTTCTCAAATCCTCAACTCAGATCAAAAGCTAGTTTTCTGTCAAGGGCTCTTTTACCACTTTCAAATTTTTTCAACATACACATTTGGGTGTCTTCTTCGACTCTCGACTTTCGTTTTCAACACTCGCCGGACCGGAACTCCAAATGTCAGCGCCACCATATATCGAACCCGGTATAAAAAGAAACAGAAAGGTGTCAATAATATCAAGCAAGTAATTTTAAAATTAGTTTGTTCTTTAAAAAGATATGTAATTTGAAGAATAAACTGGTATAGAAAGTTTTCATTTCTAAGTCTGAAGCTTCGAGTTCACTTCGATTTGATCAATTTGAAGAATAAAATTTCACCGGAGTGTTAGGTTTTATTTCACAGTAAGGAAGTAGCCTAGTGATTAATAGACTCAACTTGGACGGACCTTTTCTCTTACTCTCATCAACTCAGAGGAAATACTTTCCATTGTGTTCGAGCAAAAGTCAGTTTTAATGACGGGAATGAGAGGAAATAAAAAGTGTCGACCACCTGAAGAGTCTTTTACTTTCTGCAGAGCGTACTGTTGATTGATTGTTCATTTTTTAAACGTAGATTCTTTTGAAATGAACTTTTCTAATTATGTTTAGCACTGCTCATAATTTCTGGCTCAAAAGAGTTTTAGCTCTCATTTTAAGTATAATAAAGAAATTGATGGACATACCCAAAGTGGTGACTTCTTTATTTAAGAAAAATTCCACGAATATATAATGAAATTGATCCTGACTTATTGATCAAAAACTGTTTGTCCTTATTTGAAACTGTATCATGTATATAAAACGTAATGTGTTTTATTTTTGTGGGTAATATTCTTGTTTTATTTTTCTCCAAGGATACCAAGGATATTTTGCTTATTGCTCCTGATTTTTTTCAAATAGTGTTTTTCCCCCGATCCAATTGGAGTATATTCGAAATATATCCGTTCTGTCTATCTAGGAATGTGCCAATGTGAAACTTACATGCGTAAAAGTGAAACGGACATGTGAAATGTTCCGCACCCTTAAGCATGCCTTGTGCAGGAAGCCAGCCGGGGCTCCTCCTTTGAAATCTAAATGAACCAAAAATCCAATTCCGTTGCAATAGAAGAAAATATTGGACTACAATATACACCAAAGTTCCCAGCAAAAAACTAAACTACGAAGATTTTTTTGAAAAACTGTGAAGCTATCCAACCAACATAAAGCTACATTGGGTGACCAAAATTTATACTTTAATAATAAATAAACATTATGTTAAGATCTTGGTCGAGATGAAAAAGTTAGTGTCACGAGCAGGATTCGAACCCACGCTCGTGACACTAACTTTTTCATCTCAACCAAGACCTTACATAAAAACAATAATTAATTGAAATAATTAATTTGGTCAATTAGACCACTAAGCATAATGGATTATATTAAGATTTGTTTCAATTCTGAACAGATCTATTTCCATGGGTACGAATTTTCTCGCCTGTTTACTTTTCACTCATACACCTTTCGGCTGGATCTTTGTAAATAACTGTCGCTTTTTTTCATGAAATTTGTTTTTTAATGTTATAGCCTATAAACCTTTGGACAATTTACAACCTGGAGTGTTCAAATTTATAAAAAATCCCTTAAATTTAGTGGTCTGATTGACCAAATTACTTCTTTCAATTAATTAATCTTTTGAAGTCACGATAGCTCAAGTGGTTAGAGCAGCGGCGTATTGAGCCGAAGTTCGTGGGTTCGAATCCCGCTCGTGACAATGACTTTTTCATTTCAACCAAAACTTTACATAAAAAGATTAATTACGTCTCCAATCATTTTAGTCCTTATTGTTACTGTTAGAAAAAAAAATCCCACATCACACCAACTTCATTGGTGTCTTTCTGGCGATGTTTTGCGCTGACTGATTGAAATAATAAAAAACAGGCAAACATTTTAAAAATCTGTAATGAAATTTTCAAAAAATTGACCATGATCGAATATAGATGATTTGACATCTTCAGACCTAATGATGATAATCATAACAGTCAAAATTGATAGTATTAATTATTTGAATTAATTATACTTTTCATCTCAACCAAAATCTTAGATAAAAAGTATAATTAATTAAAGTGATTTAAATCTTATTATTGGTCAACTATTAATCTTTGAAGTATATTGCCTGCTAATTTTCAAATATTTTTATATAATTTTTTTTATTTAAAAAATGTTAAATAGTTTAAAATGAAAAAACGTAGTACGTACTTTCATTGTGAACAGCACTCTCTAATTCCTTGCACTAACTGAGGGTTCAAAAGTGATAGCAACTTTCTTATAACGCAGGGGTCCCCACTTGGTGTAAGTCCACCCCCCAGTTCCGGCGTGTTACGAAATTTCATATTCTCCTTCGGTGCCCCATACGACACGGAGGAAGCATCTTGGCAGTTTTGATTGGAGGCACCATTCGGTTCCCGATTCGACGCCCTGGATGTCGTTGGGAAATAAAACGACGGGAAGGACGTTTAAGATCTCACGCGCACGTCAAGTCTGACATAGACATGACTGATAACGTTGGTAAACGACGTTTTAGCAATAGTTTCATATAAAAAGCGAGAAATTTCTACCCATTTATGATTAACAAATCAAAGAAAACAGGAATAACACAATTTTGTCGTGAAATCGAAACAAAGATCAACAGCAACCATCTTCAAAAGGTGCCATAGACAGTTTGAACAATTTCAATCACAAAACAGATTCTAATTATCTATACCAACCTTACCTGACAGATTTTTTTATATTAGATTTTATTTATTTGTAATAAATTTACCTAGAACAAATTCCTTTAAGTTTCAGGGGAAGTGGCAGGGCACTGTTACATCCCTTTACAATAAATGATCTAGGGGGCGTCGGTGGCCGTTACGGTTTAGTCGTTGACACGGCGCTCATCACTGTAAGGTAAAGGTCCCGGGTTCGAATCCAGCGGCCCTGCATTCGAACACGACATCTTACAAATGGGCCTTTTTTCAAAAACACCGGCACCCCCTCCAAAAAAATTGATCTATTTGATCCCTAGTCTAAATATAGAGGTTTTAACAATATTGTGCTCGCGGAAAATTAAAAAAACAACACAAAAATAGGAAATAAGCAAAATGAAATCAGGTACATATTGAATTGAGTAACTTTAGTGATGTCACAGGAGTAAATGATAAGTGCAAATGTAATAACTACATAAAAATAATAAAATATAACAACTTGGCATAATAAATAGTATAATCAATTTAAGTTTAATCAACGTAAACAAATGAATAAATAAAAAACAAATTAAATAAATTAAAAGATTAATAATCAAACAAATATGCAACGTATGTAAATTTATATACACGTTGGTATATATAATTTACAAGTTCATCAGAATTCGTGGTCCGATTGACCGAATAACGTTTTTCAATTAATTAATCTTTAAGTAAGATATTGGTTGAGATAAAAAAGTCAGTGTCACGAGCGAAATTCGTACCTTTACTTATAAGACTTACATTTGTACCAAAATTCACTAGTTTTCGTGGTCCGCTTGAGCAATTAATACTTTTCAATTAATTAAGGTTTTTAGTTGAGATAAAAAAGTCAGTGTCACGAGCGGGATTCGAACCCACGATTTTCGGCTAGACACGCCGCTGGTCTACCCAGACAGACACTGACTTTTTATCAACACTCAAACTCATTAAGAAAGTACACTTTGGCATTTCAAGCATAAATACATGCCATCAATGTTGTGCCTTAAAAAATCTTAGTTACAAGTGCAAAAATATCGTAATAAGATCGGATAGCCAAGCTATTAAAGCGTTAACGTGTAAAAAAAATCACATCAAAACTAGTCAGTTAATGCAACCAAATTCTCGAAAACTTGATGGTTGACAAGAACAAGGGAATTTTGGTTAACGAAAAAGCAAATACATTGGCTAGAGAAGGACCTGCCAGTCTGTATATAGCCCTGATGATATTATTGGAATATCAAACATGGAATCCTCCAACTCAGAATGGATCCAAAGAAGACAAAAGGAGAAGTGGATAAAGTCAAGAGGTGCTCGATACACAAATCTTATATTAAAACAACATTCACCAAGAGTGGGCTAAACTCAGATGAGTAATAGTATATACTGGTCACTAGCATCTGACAAAATATCGACATAACATCCATATGCAATGATGATCCCAATTGCCGATTATGCAGTCAGGAGGCTGGAGGCTACGGTGGAGAAAATAATCAAAATTATTTTTAAAAAATCAAAATTAAAACAAAAACTTGGGCCATAGAAAAACACTGCTTGCTAGGAAGCTATAGTGGAAAAAATAATCAAAATTAGTCAGTGATTGCACAGGAAATCTCCAAAACCTAGGAAAATCTGATATCTTCGGTACCAGGGCACAAAAATACCCGTACTATATACAATGTAACAACCCTGTTTCCACCAACACTTAATTTTTAAAAAAGACCTCATTAATTAGACATACGTTCTAGGAACGTAAACAATTTAAATAAATAAAAACATAAATTGGAGTCAATTGAGAATGGAGAACTTTGCAATACGGCGACAAAATCCAAAAACAAACTGGGTTCTCGAGGAAAACAAGAACCCTTGGGTTTTTGTTGTCAGTTCACTTGGGGAGCATAGCGTGTCATGGAAGCTGTCAAAACCCCAGCAGCGTGAGCGCATCCTATGCTCACATTGCTAGGCGCCCATATTCAAATTTGACCACTTTGTTTCAAACATTTATATGATATAATAACATCTTTTATCATTTAAAAAAAATCTTAAATACTTTTCTTTATTGGACGACTAGCATTGATTCGTCATTTTTTGGATTTCTGATATACTACGTATAAAGAGAAAAGATAAGGAATTTTGGGGTAACGAAAAAGCATGCGCTCTGGCAAAAAGGAAGATCTGCATATACGCCTTTTATCTATTCTTGGGATAACTAAAACAATCTCAGAATAGACCCAAAAAAAGACAAAAAGAGAAGTGCACTTTAAAGGTGCTAGGCTTATGTTAAAAGAAGTTTCAACAATGAAATTGTAACAGCGACAGTCAATGTAGAAGGCTACAGTGCCTGAGGGGCACAAACTCCTCTTCTTAGGATCATCATCATCATCAAAAGCCAATTTTTTAAATACATATCTCTGACCGTTTTGATTTTTTATCGCAATACGTAAAAGAACAGATTACGTGGCAATGTTATGCTGCAGTGAACTTTTGTCATAAGAAAAAATGTACACATTAGATTTTAACAACCTACCTCTGTAGCATAATGGAGTCGACCTAATTAATTATACACGACATAAAGGAAATATAGTGAAATTTAAGTGTGACATTAAAAATGAACAATTCACCCATTTAGCTAGGGATGTAACGGACTTTTTGCAATAGGAAGGAAACCGTCGGTGTACATTTTTTCCCACTGAAACATCAATTTACTGGCAATTCACAATACACAGCACGCGCATAAACGGTTTTTCATACTTGGCGACAATTACAACCTTTTACTTGAGCGAACTTACGAAAAAAGTCATAGTTGGCTACTTCATAGTCGTAAAAGATAAATATTCCAATATTTATTTTATTATTTTTATATCTTTAATATTAGCTCGATTATTACATCCTTGCTAGTCATTATACAATTTATTTCAGATATTGGGATGCGGGGACGTTACTTCAAGTCATATTATGGCTAAATTGGAAAAAATATCTAATAATTTGTCCGTACTTTACGAACAATTCGACATAAAAGAAGAGCTAACAGATTTTAAAAAATTTGCTTTAAATTTTAAAAGGATGTTAAGGTTCGTAAAATTTCTGTCAATAATATTATACAGGTTGTTCGGCTACTCGTGTTACAAACTTTGCCAGTAGATTCTGCATTCAAAATGGAACCAAAACGTCCTAATTAACTATGGTCCCAATCTCAAAAGTTTCGGCGTTATTCCCGTTTTTCTGATTTTTTAAAATTTCACGACCTTGCTTCAAATAAACAATGATAACTCTAAAACTAAAAGGTTTTGAACAAATCCGTTGATACCACTGAAAGCTACGTTAAATTTCCAATAAGTTGTGATAAATACTAAACTTGGTGAAATATGCGTTTTAGTAGCCAGAACTTTAAAAAATATTTTTACTACTTCCAAACCTAGAGAACAGAAAATTTCAGAAAACGTACTCCATTTAATATCCTTTTTAGTGGTGTAATTACTTTTTTAACTACTTTTTTCAAAGATGAAGAAATTGATGAAGAAAATGAAAAATCCGTGGTTGACAGGTTGGATAGGTGGAAAGACTAAAAAAAATTAAAAAAAGTAGCCATAGTGTTAACAAGATATCACCTAGATACGTAAAAACGTTTTGGATATTAAAACTCTTTTATTCCGGGGAATAGTAATATAAAAATGATTCAATCAAAGTTGGAGTCGTGTTGGTAAATAAGTAAAAACTTGCAATATTTCGGTTTTGAACCCAAATTAAAATCTTTTGATAAATTCATTCAAAATTTCTTTGTGTTTTTTTTGTTTGTTTTAATCTTTCCACCTTAACAATCCGTCAATCACGGTTTTTTCCATCAGTTTCTTTTTTCATCAATTTCTTCATCTTCGAAAAAGTAATTAAAAAAGCAATTACTCTACTAAAAGGATATTTAATGGAGTACGTTTTCTAAAATTTACTGGCCTCTAGGTTTGGAAATAGTAATTTAGAATCGCCGTAGTAAGTTTTTCAACTTTGAAAAAAAAAAAAAATTTCTAAGTTCTGTCTATTAAAACGCTTATTTTCCCAACGTTTACAAGTTTACTGTTTATCACATATTATTGGAAATTTAACGGTCTTTAATCATCTTTAAAAAAATTTAATTTAAGGTTAAAAAAATAAGAAAAACCATAAGCCCTAGGAAAGGGCACTAAAGAGTTCTTCACTCTCCTTTGCTTGTACACAAAGTCCAAGTAAAAGAACCCAATTTGTCGAACTGATTACTGCTTAGCACACACCGTTCAAATTAATTCTTTGTGATGCGTTTTACGTGTTTTATGTTTTCGATCGTGAAGTCAAGCCTCATGAGGGACACGCATACAAGAACATCTGGTCTAACAACTACTTTATAGAAGAGAAGATGGTTTACAGGGACAGGTTAGAGTCTCTGCACAATAAGGGAAACACGAATTTCAGCTTTGCCTTTAGTCACTCTATCCATTACATGGGCGGCAAAAGCTTACTTTCAAGTTGGTCAAGTATTACCCCAAGGTACTTACCAGTGGGATACAACACAGACCTGCGCTTTGTCAAGAGGATAGC